CCAAAAAACCCTAAGGGAGCCTACTTGATGCCTCGAGGTCGATAAAAAGCCAAAAAACAATAAGTGAGCCTAGTTGATGCCTCGGGGTCCATAAAAAGCCAAAAAACCTAATTGAGCCTAGTTGATGCCTCGGGGTCGATAAAAAGCCAATAAACCTAAGTGAGCCTACTTGATGCCTCGAGGTCGATAAAAAACACCAGTTGCACAGAAACATACTTAAGATCACAATCATCAATTTGCAAGCATCTTACTTAAGATCACATTCAGCACCTCCAAATACCACCACATTTCGCAATAGTTCAAATCCATACATAATCATAGTTGAAGATTACTACATTACATCACCATAGTTCAGAAGTACTCATAGTCCAGAGAATTTAATCTACCATCATTACAGCAAATGCCAAACGACACTCTGCAAAAGGTCAGCAAATGCCAAATGATATTGCCCATTCTTCTCTTCCAGAACCACCTGCTTATCCATTTATGATGGCCTTCGCTCCCTGCAACTTCACATTGCTCTCTTCAACTGTCTTCTTCAAGTCATCAATGTGGTTCTACAAGTTCTTCCTCTCTTCAGCTAGCTTGAGCTTCATGTTCCTAATGACATTTGCTTGAGCAACTGCTAGGTTCTTAACCATGTCATACTTCTCCTGAAGCTTGTTGGTTTCAAGATCTTTCCTTTCTACCTCTGCCCTCCTTTCCTGAGCATCCAAAAGTCCATTCACATCTTCAACCAACTTCTCATAGCTCTCTTGTAGCTTCTTCTTCTCTCGTATCAAGTCATGAACAGCAAATGAATGCAAAAGATTTTCCTCGGTCCTGTCTCTCCTACTTTGTTCATACATAAACCATAACTTGGCTAATGCATTCTCAAGGGTGTTGGGCCAAACTGGATCAATCCATTCAACTAATCCACAATTTCTACCTTCCTGAACAAAATCAGAATTAATATAAACAAAAACATTAGAATGCTTCCAAGCAACACTATTTGATTACTATCATCAAATTCAGAGCTTGAGCTTGCTACTTAAACATGTCCTCATGCTACTTAAACAATGTTGTCCTGCTATAAAGTAAACATAATCAATCAAATGACCTAACATGTCATACTAAACAAGTTGCATCCTCTGTCCTGCTCCAGTAACCCATGCATATTCTGTCTTAAATTATTTATAGCATGCTACACTAAACAAAGTGATCTAACTTAACAATGTTGCCAGACCAAGGGGAAAAGATGCTGCCAGAGTAAGCAATTGCTTCTGATCCACTTTCCTAACTAAACAATACAACTAAACCTAACACTAAACTGCAATGCCTGCCACCACAGTACAGATCTAGAGAAAACAAAGGCACAACACAAACAAAGGCAGATCCAGAGAAAACAAAACACAATATACCTTCTCAGCACAGCAAAGAAACCTCCTGCCAGTGTGGATTCCTTCGAAAGCAACACGCCTTTCTGCGGCCTTCCCATGTTCATTGCAGAGAACAAGCAACTCCGTTTCAGGTCCCGCGAAATCGGAGTCTTCAGTGGTAGCAGGGATCTGTAGTGCATAGGAATACCAGAGATTTGATCCACATGTCAGCAAACAAGCTCACTGAAGAAATCCCCCAAATCACAAACCCTAACCCTAAAAATCTGAACTTACCTTAATTCTGCCGTCGTCAGAACCAGAGCTAACGTACTCCACGGTGTGCTCGCTGCTATCGGACCCATCGCTCCAGGACACCATGGCGACGCGGCGGGGGCGCGGCGACGCGGCTGCAGGTGCGGCGAGCAAAGCAGAGGAGCAAGACAGAGGAGGAGTGAGCGAGAGAGCAGCGAGACAGAGTGGGGAGTGGGGAGTGGGGGCAGCACCGACCGGTCTTTTGACTGGTCCATCAAACAGAGGCATACGACGCCGTCAAACGCCGTCTAACGGCTGTCGGGACGGCCGACGATGCCACGTACGCAAAAAAGGGGCCCCACCTATCATAAACAAGCTTAACTGACCCCGATCCGCCGATCAGTGCTTTCTGCAAAAAGATTACGGAAGAGATGGTGTTTTCTGAAGAAAAAAAAAATGTATTGTAGTGGTTTTCGCAAACCTTGCCTTCAAAGTGGTGGTTTTGTGCAATTTACTCGTATTATGGCTATGCCGGTTGAGAGAAAAATGGAACATCTTGAGATGGGCCCTCATTTCGCACAACGAGCCCATGGAACAATTCGGCCTGAGCAAGACCCATTCAAGCATTTGAAACGTTCTCTGCCCCTCAAATTTTCTTTTCGAAACGTTCTCTGCTTTCAGTACTTGGTGTGGGTTCTTAAAAAAACAAAGTAGTTGGTGCGGGTGAGAACATTATACAGATATACGTACTACTCTTTAAATATTCTCCATCGGAATAAGAATTTGATTTCGGGAGCAGTTGGATGGAGTCACAGGCCTTGATTATGGTTAGCAGTACACGTCTGAGTACTCATACAAAACTTCACACTATTGTGTGGCTACAATACGTCACTTTAGTTACTTACAGAACATACAGAATATGCTCGGACATTTTTTTTGTCGTATATATGCGGAAGATATGAATTGACTTACAAAAAAATTGGTTAGAAAGAATTAGCTATCATCAATACTATATTGTGGAGGGAGACTCTTCATCATTGGCAGGTTGTTTCCTCGACAGGGCTGGGGAGATCAGTCTCCAAACTGCAGAGTGCAGAGGACAAAACGTCAGTTTTACTGCAGCAACAATGCTAGCCCGGACTATGTCCTCTGCAACCACATGCACAATAAGTAAATAATTCACAGTGAAGGAGGATTTGCAAATGCGACAGACAGTTTCCGAAAAAAACAGGATCCACATTCCTTAGAATTACTCCCTCCGTTCACAAATATAAGATGTTTTGGATATTTCAATATGGACTACATACGAACTGAAATGAGTGAACAAACACACTAAAACTTGGCTTGTAGTGTACTGAAACTGAAAGTGAACAGAGGGGATAGCTGTTTTGTGAAGCGGAAGCAAATGTTTCAGTTAACAGAGCTGCATGGAAACAACAGGAAATGGCGACTTACCGTATATGCAAAATGCCAGCCATTCATTCATGATCTTTACCCATGTGCTTGCCCATCCAACATCTATGCTCCATCTGTTTGAGAAATGGGAGGATGTTACTAGATGGAATGTGGCAATGAAGCAGTATGCCACTGAAGGCAAGAACTCAACTATATTAGAACCGCATCGACGATTAAGCATGTTGTCACTTCAAATTAGGAAAATCTCGTAACAGATGGAGCATCGATGATTAAGCATCGACAATAGGTAAATTTCTGCACAATGTGACTTACTTTCTTGTTATTGGATGGTTAAGCTCCCAGCTTATGAATAGCATTGCAAAATACATAGCCCCCACCGCAAACACAATGTGGAAAATCTCGTAGCTGTAGGGGACATCCTCTTCCAACCGGGTCTCATCACTTCGAAACTGGAAATATAACATTTTGTTAGTATCGTGGGTAATGTGTACAACACTAAGGGGATTCATGACAGTTAGTATTAAATAAAATTCTCTTTCAGATTTTTTTTTACTAACATAGATTTGCATGACCTTGAACGGGAGTGGGTTCTTCTTTAGTACGAGTATTATGTACTAGACTATAATTCTGATTCTTGGAATAACTGATTAAGGAGGTTCCAATAGCCCAACATTGGTTGCTTGATGAACTAACTGTATTTTTGATGCAATTAGCAAAAGAGCTCCACATAGTGGTGCTTATAATCAAGAAAAATGGCAAAGCCCAGGTTGGTCCCTCCACCTATGGATGCGTGGAACAACTGATTGTTTGCATGAAATAAGGTGCCAAGAAACGATCATTTGCATACCAACTGAGAACTTGAATACTATATGCAGAAAACTCATAGTTAGAACTTACTTGAAAGGATCTGTTATTGATTCCAGTAGAAAATGTGGCCGACACAATGGAGCAAATCGCAATAATGAAGCTCTAGCAAAGCACAAAGCGATTAATTAGAACATCAAGACTGCATTTACTCGCACGAACTAAAAGAAAAGATATGCCCATCCAGAAAAAACAGTGAAATGCTTGCTTAACATATATTGCGAGTGCACTCTATCGGAAATATGTTGCGAACCCCACCACCCCCTACAATGCTACATGATGCGCATCACTAAGATATGTGTATGACTGAACCACCGACATAGTTGCGGTAGGCCCTTAATAAAGCTGAACAAATAGGATCCTCTCATTAGTTCAGGTGAGGCGCTAGGTGGTCTAGTTTTTTTTTTTTGGAAAAGGAGGTGGTCTAGTTTTGCAGGCTGGGAATCTTTGTTTCTTAGTGGAGCAGGCTCGGAATCTTCAATCTTGACACCAAGAAAATGTACAGTGAAATTTCGGTGCTAATTTCAGGGTACAATAATCTCCCAAGAGTGCAACAAGGTGATAGTTTAGAAACTAACATTTTTCACTTACAATTATAGTAGCCCAATTACCATCCTTGCCAATTTTCATCTCAGTGTAGCACTTTCCAGTTCGTGGTTCGCTGCACATTGCAATTCATGAAAATGAGTCGTAAATGCAATGTTAAGTAGAAGGGCAAATGGGGAATATAAATCTAAGAATAAGATAATACCTGTGTAGTGCAGACCAACAAAGGAACACAATATATGAGCCCATTATTCCAGAGGATAGAAGACCCGCATTAACCTTTTTAGCAAACAAAGTAAATTAAAATCATATACATTATGAAGGTTGAAGCAATGCAAAGCAAGTGAGCACGGACAGTTTTGGGTATCGGTTAAACATAGAGGTGCAGCACTGCAGCAATAGGGCACTAGTATTGATTGCAGTTGTAGAACAGTAGCACAGGCACACCAATGTACTCCCTCTGTTCCAGAATAGATGACCCAACTTTATACTAACTTTGTACTAAAGTTAGTACAAAGTTGAGTCATCTATTTTAGAACGGAGAGAGTATACAATTGGAATGATCTGTTGTTCTGAACTTAGTAGGTTTCTAGAGTGGTAATGGGAAGAGATGGGATAGGGGAGACATCTGATCATTTGCCCCAAAGTTCATGTAACTTCAACCATTTGCCATTTATTTGAAATTTGCCTATTAGTTATGCTTAATACTACTTCAATGTTTTTTCTGAATCCTCTCTTTTGTCAACATTTATCTCAATTTAAAAGTTCCCGGTTGAATACTGTATTGCTAACTACTCTATAACTAAGTTGAGGCCTGGAGCTGCAATATTCTCGTACCTTTGAGTGCAGTGACACCGCCATCATTATCTTCACAAGGACTGCCGTCCATATAATAGTGAAGATGTTGAACACACATGATGAGTTTGGAACATACATAATATATAGCACGAGGATTCCGGCAAATGAGGCAATGAAGGAGACAGTTGACAAGAACAATCCGAACAGGCCGCTGAAAAGCACACAAAACATCATCCTTGTCATGGCCTGAAATAGTTTTAACATTGTGTTGAAGTATTGAGACACCAGAATACAGCTAATTAAATGTCCGAGCGTTCAATAATTATGTACCATTGATTTGATCCAGGAGCTGGCATCCAACGTTTATTGCACCATGATATGAGGTGGAGCATGCTTATAAGCTGGAGAATGAGAAATATCCTGGAGGAATACGAAACATAAATTAACTATAACCTGTAATGCAACGTGAGTTTAGTGGAAATTTCAATACAATTGCAATATGCAATGGTTGAAACTTCTCAAATCTCAGTAATATAAACAAGAATCATTAAAATTACCCGGCACCCATTCGAGCAATTTCACCTGCAAAGGATATGGAGTAGATTTCTTCAGCCCACTAATGTTTAGGCTTGTTACTCAGATGCAAAGTTATAATGGAACTAGTGCTACTGAATCAATTAAACTTGGTTTTCATGTCATGTTTTCATTTTTTTTGTTTCCAAATAAAGGATCTGAAGTTGCCGGTTTGGCCCTGACACTTGAATCATAGCCTCTCTTATATATTGCTGAGAGAAAAGGGAGAATTGCCAATGTATCATTGCAAACATGCTAATTACTGCACTATCATTGAAAAAAAGTGAAATGGGGTCATTATAACACTCTGAGTCTCTGACTAGGGTTAATGGGTTTGACCATAGTAAAATGACTATACCGTCCTTACAATAACAACATGTGACTTGATATAATAAATTCAAAAGGCAACAAGGTGTTGCTTTTCACCGAATGTCTCCTATTTTCTCTTATAAAATATCATATTGACGCTTTTACCTGCCCAAAATTTGTAAGCTCACCATTCACCAAATGATCTACATATAGAATTTCAGTCTTCTTAAAAAAATGCAAGCGTCTTTTTAAGTTTTAACCCGTTTTTTGTATTTCCACCTTGAGGTTAGTTTGGGTAATTTGTTCTAAAAAAGGCTACGTACCATTGGAAGTTTGACTATTTCTCTCTTTGTAAGAAATTTACAGTTTCCAAATACAACACCTTTGCAATGGTACACTGAAAACGAAATGAACTTATTTTGGGTGAAATGTAGCAGATATGATGATTATCATCTGAAGGAGAGGCAACATTTTTTAGTGTATCATTGGTGCACATCTATTAAGGTAACCATGCCATTCACTCTTTGCAGCAACTACAATGTGGCATACCACGCAAGTGAGCAGAGAAGTGACTACTGTTAACTAAGTGACAGTTATGGGCCGAAAAGAAACTTACCATAGAGCTGGATGAAGATGTTAGGGATGATAAACGGGGTGACGATTGACACGGCATACACCAGAAACTTGAGGGTCCAGCATCCAGAATGCCACGAATTACGAACTCCCTGGAGCTTGCGTGTTCCAAATGTTGTGGCAAACATCACCCAGAAAAATATCTGCCGCTTGATGTAAGGAAGTGAACAAAAGGAACACAAACTCAAAGGGCAGTATGCAGACTGCAGCCAGAAATTCAGGTGCAAAACAAAAGAATTCCTATCCACTTTGTAGTTTAAACCAAGGATACGAAGCAACCCAAGCTAACCCGGAGCACCCCTCCAGAGCGGAAGCATTTGGAGTCCCCTGCTCCACAGACCGGGATATCTGAAGATCACAGCAGACAGCAGATCAGTACAGAGCACAGCAGATTCAGAATGTGTCGTCCATCGTTGATGGCAAATGCAGAAGGTTTGGAAGGAAATGCGGAGGGTGAACGTACGGTGCAGTCCGCCGAGCAGCTTGGCCCCGTAGTCCCTGATGAACCAGGCCAGCAGGTTGGTGGCGAAGAAGATGAGCCCGTAGACGTAGCGCGCCCTCAGCGACTGCCCCTTCCTCGCCTCGTACGCGCCGCTGTCTCTGTACAGCTCCGGCGCTTGTATCTTGATCATATCCCCTCTCGTAGACCCAATGCCGCTGCTGCTCTCGGCAAGCAAAATGGTCTTCTCACTAAGCTCGAGTCGAGTTCTGCGGAATTCACAAGCCATGGATCGATGAGGTCACCGGCTCGCTGAAGCTTAAACAACAATGCCGTCCGGAATTCGGACGGGCGAGGAAGGGAGGGGATAAAGGAAGAAGGAGCAGGACTCACCGGCGGCGGAGGGAGACGGCTCCACGGCGGTGCAGAGCTGGTGGTGCTTTTTTACTTGGCTCTGTCTGCTCCGTCCCCGTCTCACTCGGGTCAGGGCATGGCTTCACCTGGCTCAGACGCGTGCCTCTTTAAAACATGCACGGCAGGCCCGCCGGTGGGCGCGGCCGCTCTCTCTGGTCGGAGTACAGCGGTCTGGACCGCCCGATGGGAGGATCGCAGGGCTGCGGCGCACTGACGGGTCACGGCCATGGGCCCCCCCGCCGTTGCTCGGTACGGCACCCCATTGGTTTCTAGAAGCGGGCGCTGCTCCACGCGTCCTGCGCCGAGACGACCGTTGGGGCGCGGCGATGGCGTTTAAAACCGGAGAAGAAAACGACCTCACATCACATTTGTGGCAGCGTTGGCTGTGCTTTCGCCGAGCTAGGGTTAACCTAAAGAATTTGTCCAAGAAAGGGGCTAATGTAAGGAAGTTTTGCTGGCCAAGCTGTTTGTTGCCCGAACGAAACCAAAATCTCAACCTCGTGCGCTTTTGTTTCCCGTGGTTTGGTATTGGTTCACTCGTTTGGGAAAGTTGTTGCTGCTTTTAGGAGTTTCATTTCATGAGGTTTGGTGAACGAATATTAGTACTCCAATCCAATAGATGGCACTCGAGATTTGATGAAGCGATAAAAGGCGTTTCCACTTACACCACGATGTTTCTTCTACTTTTTTAACACAGCACAAACGCATACCCTTATCCAGAAACAAGAATCAAGGGAGCTCCGGGACGCCCATAGAGATTAGACGACTCCGGCCATCCGTTTCAGTTGCCTGATGCGTTTTCGGTCATTGGATCTCACGCATGGAAGAGCTCAGCCGTTGGATAAAAAAACGACGTTGTAGCAATGAATAGTGCGCCCTTTAGTGAAAATATCATGTGTCACCACCTGTAATTTCCATGCCGCGCCGAGGGCACCAGTGGTATTTCCATGGCCAGTGCCACGTGCCTTACATCTATTTGCTGCTCCATCCTCAATTAGGGGAGACACTAGGGTTCGGTCTCTCTCTTTCCTCTCATTCTCTCTCACAATCCCGCACATCTCTCTCTCTCCCGCCACCGTCGTTGGCACCACCGTCGGCATCAACCGCAACCAGCTGCTCGCATTCCTTTCTGTCTCGCTGCCCCTTCCCCATAGCTCCTCCTCCTCCATTGCCAGGAGAGGCTCAGCCTTGCTCGGGCCGCTGTCCGCCCGTCAAGTTCATGTGTCTGCATCGTCGGGAGGAGCGGAGGCTGCAGCTCACGCATCTACTCCTTCGTGGACTGCAGCGGGCGCGGCGCTCGGTGGACGCGTCGAGCAGCAGCGGATCTGGACGAATTGGTCCAGTGGTGGGAGGTTGACGAGCACTAGATTTTTTCTTTCAATGATAGGTGGACCCCATAGGGCCACACATTGATGATAACGTTAGTCAACATCGTCGTTACTTAGGCGGTGACATGTCAGCCTGACTAGCAGGCCCAATCTGTCATAAACATGCTCACTCGAGCCAAATCCGCCGATCAGTGCATTTTGCAAAAAGATTATGCAAGACATGGTGTTTTCTGTCAAAAAATGTAACGTGGTGTTTTCTACAAATCTAGCCTTCAAAGTGGTGGTTTCCTGCAATTTACTCCCCAGGTACATGCGATAAGCCAGCCCACGCCGCACCAGAACAACAGCAGCTTCCATAGAATGGCACATACCAGCAGAACCACCACACTCCCAGCAAACAGAAGATTGTACTAACATGGAAAAACAATCTAGCATGCGGACACAGCAGAACAGAACAAGCATCAGGTGTGGACAGCCTAACCCTGTGCAATGGATAGAATGCTCATTATGTTTACATTGACAAAAATGGTAAATTACAAAGCAACCACCACCAAGTTGATAAGTACATCACACTGTTGTAACTTGTAAGTCACTCAGTTACTATACAATGACTTGACAAGTCTATAGAATGCAAATGTACTTTAGTTCCACTGGAAGAAAAGAAAGGACACGTGTCCAAAGAATCTGCGGACAACATATCCATATAATAGAATGCCTCATGTAATCCCCTTGCCACTGGTATGCCTAATCAACATTTTCTTGCCGTTCCTTAGGGTGCTGGTAATGATAAAAATTCCTGCAGCGACTGAAAAGAGCCAAACTTGCATCTTCATGGGCATGAACATATGAAAGGAGTACTCAATTAAACAATACCGCCACATGTTGTTATTGTTGAGTATTTTAGAGTATCAAGCATAAGTGTTTACCTGGACTATCAGGACTGAGAATCGCGGGGATTGTTGAGACTAAAAATAGGGCCATGTAGGTGAAAGCATAGCCTTTACCAACAAAAAAAATAGCTGTAAACCCAATGGCAGATCTTGAGAAAAATTTAAGAGGGGGCCATGACTAAAGGGGAACAAATTAGTAGGCCGGGAGGGGCTAATCACTCGTTGAAATACTAATTAGGCCTAAAAGCTAGCATGCTCTTCAATGAATGCCAAAACTAAGGGGGCATGGCCCCCCTTGGTCTACGCTAAGCTCCGTAGTGTGTAAACGGCCAGGCAAACAAACATCACAGAGAGTTCAATGGAGGAAACCAATAGAGTGTCTCCTATAAGTTTCATGCACAAAGAACGCGTTAGAACCAAAAACTTTCATCGGAGATATAATAACCAACGAAAGAAAACCCTACCAAAGTTAGTCCAGTTGAAAATCGCGATAAGCAATGAAGTTGAGCCTGCTTGAAGTAGCAGGAGAAAAAGCCTGAAGTTTCTTTCGCTCCGAAACTTCATCAAGAGGCAATACACTGCAATCATCATAAGCATATAGTGAACCCGATTTAAACAAATTAAAGTGGAAGTATCTCGCTTTTAACAGGTTATGCCTTTCTAGTAACGGACACATGGGATGATCAGTATGTCAGTACATGATATAAAATACACACTGTTTCTTACTGAAATAATATGTTGTTGAGTTTGAATATTCAAGTAGTATAGTGTTAAATGATAAGATAACTTCTAGCTATTCCAACAATCCTTGGTTAACAAAATCTTTTTGTATTTGGATGTGTTACTTTTGCTATCACCTCTTGTTACCGAAAAAGACTTTCGCCCCACTTTATAAATAAAGCAACCACCGATCACAAAGTCAACAAAGTACCAACCGCGAACACATACACACACAATGCCACCGCATGCAAGGTCTAACAGACAAGCACACACACAACAAACGGGTTCAGCTGTTGGCACATTACAACAAGCCTAACACACCGGCACACACGCACGAACAACACAAACGGTGGTGACGACGACGCGGAGAAGATCTAATCTGGCTCCGGTGGTGGTGGGGGAAGTGGCGGAGCCATCCGGAGAGCCATCATGCGAAGCTGGGTAATGATGGAGGTGATGGCGTCTCTCTTCCTTGGATGGCTAAGCGGTCGCCAAAGCTGCAAGTAACCAGACCATTTGAACAGAGTGTCAGTACCGCAACGAAGAGGTATACGCTGAATCACGAGCCTATTCCTAACAGTCCACAACGTCCAGGCTAGCACACCGATGGTCAACCACCTAATGTGGCAAGACGAGGGTAGTAATGCCTGAAGTTTGGCAAAAAAGAGCGGGGAAGTTGTTGTGGTCCCAATTGCCACCCGCTATTTCGTGGAAACAGCTCCAGAAGAATTGCGCGGACATACATGTGAAGAAGATATGGTTTAAATCCTCTTCGGGCCCACATAGCGGGCAACGCCCGTCGCCAGGGCCATTGCGCTTCAAGACCTCCACGCCGGACGGAAGGCGGCCGCGGATCCATTGACACAAGAAAATTCTAATCCTCAGGGGGAGTCGGATCTCCCAAATGGTGCTGAGAGCCTCGGGTCTCGGGGAGGGGGCGATCGCCTGGTAAAGGGATTTGGTGGAGTTTTGGCCAGATGGCTCTAGTCACCACTGATACGTCTCCAACGTATCTATAATTTTTGATTGCTCCATGCTATATTATCTTCTGTTTTGGACATTATTGGGCTTTATTATCCACTTTTATATTATTTTTGGGACTAACCTATTAATCGGAGGCCCAGCCCATAATTGCTGTTTTTTTTGCCTATTTTAGGGTTTTGAAGAAAAGGAATATCAAACGGAGTCCAAACGGAATGAAACCTTCGGGAACGTGATTTTTGGAACGAATAAGATCCAGGAGACTTGGAACCTATGTCAAGCAACCAACAGGGAGGCCACGAGGTAGGGGGCGCGCCTACCCCCCCAGGCGCACCCTCGACCCTCGTGGGCCCCCTGTTGCTCCACCGACGTACTTCTTCCTCCTATATATACCTATGTACCCCCAAACGATCAGATACGGAGCCAAAACCCTAATTCCACCGCCGTAACTTTTTGTATCCACGAGATCCCATCTTGGGGCCTGTTCCAGAGCACCGGCGGATGGGGCATCGATCACGGAGGGCTTCTACATCAACACCATAGCCTCTCCGATGAAGTGTGAGTAGTTTACCTCAGACCTTCGGGTCCATAGTTATTAGCTAGATGGATTCTTCTCTCTTTTTGGATCTCAATACAAAGTTCTCCCCCTCTCTTGTGGAGATCTATTCGATGTAATCTTCTTTTGCGGTGTGTTTGTTGAGGCCGATGAATTGTGGGTTTATGATCAAGTTTATCTATGAACAATATTTGAATCTTCTCTGAATTCTTTTATGTATGATTGGCTATCTTTGCAAGTCTCTACGAATTATCAGTTTAGTTTGGCCTACTAGATTGATCTTTCTTGCAATGGGAGAAGTGCTTAGCTTTGGGTTCAATCTTGCGGTGTCCTTTCCCAGTGACAGTAGGGGCAGCAAGGCACGTATTGTATTGTTGCCATCGAGGATAACAATATGGGG